GGAAGAATGTTGTGGTAAAAATCCTCGACTATTTGAGGAGGAATTATTATATTGGGGATGGTGTTGTTGGAGAGTAATTGGTTGCTGTTGTTGTTGGGAGTATTGATAAGTGTTTGGAGCATTCAATGGTCGTTGTCCATAGTTATATATTGTTGTAGTATTGCTATTTGTTTGTTGCACAACATTCTTGTATGGTTGAGTTTGTTGTGGAAGATTAGCACTCGATGGTTTTTTAGGTATATTGTTTTGAGAATTATAGTAATTGTTTTGACCAATAGTGTTTGGTTTGAGTGGTTGCTGTTGTTGAGAACAGACACCTTGTTGCATCATGACATTTCTCTGATTCGAAGAGGCTGAATTGGTAACATCTCTGAGGATTTCTCTCGATTGGAATGGTTCATACTTTGAATTGTACGAGTTGTATTGTTGTTGTTGCAGGAGAGTATTTTCATCATTGGCACGTCTGATATTTGTATTGGCAACACAAGGATTGAATGTAGTTGGCCTTCTATTATTATTATTCATCTTGAGTATGTATGAATGGAGAGAAATATTGGGTTGTGAATTTGGTAGTGGTGGTAGTGGTGATATTCAATGTAATAGCAGAGAGACAAACTTCCGGAAGTAGAAAGGTGTTCTTTGTGGAGAGTAATTGATGAGTATGTATGTGTGGGAGAATGAACCAAATAGTTAGCAGGAATATTACTTCTCTCGAAAGTATAGGAAAAGAGTGTAATGGGTTAGAGTGTAATTGTTGGTCTGATAGCTTCAGCAATTGATTGTCAATACACACACAACAAGAGAGTACTCTTTGGTGTTCTTCTTCTTTGTGTGGGTATTTGTTAAATTAAGGTGTATTGCAATTTTTTTTCAGTCAAGCAAACACAATGTGCAATACACAGCAGAATAATAGTGTGGTGGGTGTTGTGAAGGGACAAAATTATGAGAGTGATTACAAAATACACTATTGAATAGGTAAAGCAATAGAGATTTGAAAATGAAAAATCTATAAATGGATTTGATGAACCAATGAATAGAGTACAAAGATCAATATCTTGCCAAAAGAATGTGTGATCTCAAATATGAAGGTGATTTGGTTCACTCGACACAATTGATGACAATGTTGATGATGATCAACAATAAAGATGTAATTGTTGATATATATTCTCTATATATTCAACAATAGTTGGTAGCTCGTGGTGATAGACAAGCACGGAAGATGATGAGTAATAGTGTTGATAATGGGCCTCTCGAAATTTCTCTCTCCACGATGAGAAAATAATTTGGCTCTAGTGTTATTGGTGTTTTTTTTTTAAATTGTTTTATTGTGAAAGGTAAGCCCAATAAGAGATTTGTGGAGGGTTTTTGTGGCGCCACGAAATCTCGTTACACAATTTGAAAATTCCTGTATTGCACCACAAAGATGACAAATAACACCATTTACTAATAAGGAATGTTTGATGTATGAAGGCAAGGAAAAAGTGTTAGTTATTAAATTCAATCAACAATGATATCACAATATCAGAGCATAACTATTCTTATCAAATCACGTCAATTATATCTTTCAAATATCTAATATCAAATATTCAACAATGCATGTAAAACTCACAATTCACAAAATAAAAGAAGACTGCAGCAACACCAAGTATGCACCATCATGAACCTGTTCGATGCTTATAATTGTGGATTATTTTACAGCATCACAAGCTAACACCGCCACAGTATGTTGTTCCAAATGGATATTTGTCATTTTCAATTGTGGATGTCAGTTCGATAGAATTGGTCCTTCTGCGATATATTATTTGGAAGCTAGTTGCCAAGGCAGATTTCGTATGATGAGGAGGATGCATCGTTGGATGCATGCTAAGATCTTTTACTCCTGTTCCTACTGCTAAGAAATATAGTATTGATAGAAAAAGCTTCAATGCCATTCTATGGAACCTTTTTGTGGTTGGGAGAATACTGACTCCCTTTTGGAAGTACAGTAAAATTAATTTATTTGACCTTTTTGATTTGGATAAGGAGCACAAATTGTGCCTTAATAGACAAGATTTCTATATTCCGCTCTTCCTCCTTTTGCTCCATTATTCAGTTTTCAAAGGTTTCTCCTTAAATCTCTCTTGCTAGCCACCTGTCAAACACCGTTGAATATAAAACATCAAATAATTTGACTTGCTCTGATTCAAATCAATGATTGTACATTCTCTATGAAAACTCTCGAGAGATAATAAACATCACAACCTCTTCATATCGGCAAGAGAGTTCTTGCCTTAGTTTTTTTCATCATTCTAAAAAATTTCATCATCATCCGATTAGAGTTTGAGAGTTTGCAGGACTTTTCCTCATCATCGTGTTTCCTCATTGCTCCGATAACTGATAATTAATTTTAATATATATATTGAGAGAGCAATACGGATTTTAATTTAAAAATTGATTTGCTGAATAATAATCTGTGCAAAGAAGAAGAAGAATTGAGGAAATTGAAAAACAATTTAAAAACCGTAGTAGAAGAATTGTAAATTTTCATTCAACAATTGTTTGCATCATCACTCCCTCAAAGGAGAAGAGGATAAATTATATCGAAAAAAGACAGGATATCGGCATCAATAGGATCATCATTTTCAGTTTTTTAAAAGCCGTTCATAGATTTCCATCAAGGACAAAGGACAAGCATTATATTGATTTTGGGAATCACTTCTTGAAAGAGTAAGCATAGGTTTTTTAATCGGATTGCCCTCATTGAATTCATCCTTATATGAGTTTAGGTTGGGATCATCAATTTTCGAAATCAATCAAGCGACCATCAATATATTCTCTCTCTGTCATCTTGAGTTGAACAACTATTTACTGTAATATTCTTGATAGAATTATGAAGAGTCTATCATTGAAAGGATTAAAAAAGGGAAACAACAATACTGCAGATATTTTCGAATATGATTTGAATAGCTCGAGAGGATCTAGGACTTTAGCAATTGTTAATTTGAATGCATCATTCGAAACTGCTGGAATATCACCGAGAATATTTACAGGTCAGTTACCAGAGGAAGGTCAATTCTTCACTCAATTAACTCCTCGAAGAACTTCACCTGTTTATTCTCATAATTCTTCATACATTGTTACGAATAATAATACTACAACTATTAGCTCTGTGAATAATAGTTTTGTCTTTGAACCAGTACCGAGTCCAATTGAATTCAACAACAATTCAGGAACCTTTCACAGCAATACGAAACGATGTGTCTCCATTCCTACCACTCCCATTGTTCCTCTCACTTCACCCACCAGTGAAGATGGCGACTCATCGTTTAGTGATGAATTTCTAATGGCCTCAACCACTCCAAGTAGAGCACAGAGTGCAACATCATCTATTGGTGGAAGAAGATTCACACCAAAGAAGAGTGCTAGAAAGCCACTCGACATCAAACCAAAAGAACATGTTCAATTATTTTCAACATCTTCATCCCAGGATGTGGATCCTAAAAAGAGGAGAAACAGTGTGAGTGGAAGTGTTGTTCTTCAGAAGAAGAATAACAACATGTCCACTCAATCCATCGATTATTTGAAACATCAACCTCCTCCAGAGTCTCCTCGAATCAATAGTGCTCGAGGTATTTCAAGGAGAGTGCAATCTGCAGATCCAAAGAACAGCAGAAGGCCAAGCACTCCAACTGTTTCATTCAAACAAATTCGACCACCTTCATCATCTTCAACTACATCAACAGCCATAGCCACACCATCATCTTCTACAGGATCGACTGGATGGAAGCCAAACACTTCAACAACTTCATTGCCAACACCACGAATGGCTCCAGGAAGATTACCAAGAAAGAAATCCTTTGCTCTCAACCCGTCACTTAAATCTCAACTTGAAGCCATCAAATCTGTACCTCTCTTCCTACCAGACGATATTGACCCTTCACATAAGAGTGTTAAAGACAATGTTAGTCCCCTCTTCCTAAATCAAGTGATTGAATCCTTGTTTGTTAAGGAGGACAAATTAGTTGAAAAGGCAAGATTGTACAATGAATTTAAGGAGGGTGAAGAAAGAATCGATCGACACACTGGATCAACACCTAGAGGATCCACTTCATCCACATTTAATAAGAATTCATTTTATCCCAATGCTTATAAGGCAGCTTCCTTAGCTAGTGTAAGAGTGGAGAAGGAAAATCTAATGATGGAAAATCCCTTTTTATTGCGAAAGTCACAAGCTGGGATTCATGCAGACCATTTTGGTGTGCAAGCACCAATTTCATCGAGGAGCTTGTCATCATCGAGAGCCTCAACTAGGAGATAGCTTAATTAAGATTGCAAATTACAGTTTAAAAATTTACAGTGTATTGTGTCTCACAGGATGATTAAGGTTGAATGGTTCATTTTACTATGTCTGTGAGGATTTAATTTGGAGCGTTTTATTTTTGTAAAATGTGAATCCATTTCAGACGATATTACTGCCAATTATCGGTTGTGATACAGTACCTGAATCAATACTGGCTTGGTTGTATTGAATAGATTTTTATTACAATGGAGTTCATTAAGAATTGTGTCAGAAGAGGTAAAACCATGTCCATTAAATAAACGATAGAGATACGAGTTCATTCACCAACAATTCAAAAAAATTAGATATTAATTACCAGTGATTCTCACACAATTTATTTGTTGAATTCTTATAACGCTTTTTCTTCCTTCAATGGAGCAAGAATTAAACTTGGAGCTGATTTCTTATATCTATCGATTAACTTGATAGAAGATTCAACAACATTTCTTGTTGTAATCTGATTCTTTTCATAGACATCTGTATACTTTCCACTAGCTCCAAAATTAAGCATTCCAATTTGGTGATGACTGTATTTACTCCATCCAATGATAGAAGCAGCTTCAACTGACAGACATGGAATGCCAGCTGTGAATATTTCCTGTCTATATTCCAGTGGCTGTGCATCAAAGAGTTCCCAACTTGGCATACTGATAGTTCTTACATTAATTTGTCTTTCGTTCAATTGTTTCTTGGCTTCAACAATGAGTTGAACTTCTGAGCCTGTGGCCACTAAAATAACATCAGGGTTTTCATCTTGCTCCAAGATATAGGCTCCTTTGAGTGTCTTTTCGATACTGGAATTCTTGATTGGTGGAACGTTTTGTCTTGACAGAGCTAGACATGTTGGAGTTTTGAGAGTTTTGATGGCTGATAGATAGGCACCACTTGTTTCTCTACCATCTGCTGGTCTAATCACATTCATGTTAGGAATAGCTCTCAGAGCTGTTAATACTTCAATAGGTTGATGAGTTGGTCCATCTTCTCCCAAGCCAATACTGTCATGTGTCAACACAAAAATATTTGGCAATTGAGCTAGTGCACTCAAACGAATAGCTCCCAATCCATACGAAGCAAAATTAAGGAAAGTCCCTACATAGGTTCTCAACAGTCCATGATAGAGAATTCCATTCGAAATGGAGCACATTCCATGTTCTCTAACTCCAAACCTGAAATATCTTCCCTCTCTGGAATGAGGTTGAAAATCCTTCTGTCCTTCAATATCTGTCAAATTGGATGGTGTTAAATCAGCTGATCCTCCAACCATTGCTGGAATAATCTTGAATATTCCATTTAACACTTCGTGTGAACACATTCTAGTGGCCATTGACTTTTCATCTTCAAATTTTGGAAGAAACTTCTCGAGAGAGTCCTCTATTTCACCCCTTCTCATTCTCATCAACATTTCCCATTCAGATTTGTGTGAATTTGCATATTTTTGTGTCATATCATTCCATTCTTGCAAATATTTGGCATTTCTATCAGAAATCTTTTCAAATTCTTCCCTCACAATGGAAGGAATAATAAAATGATCGTCTGGATTAAATCCACAGAATTTCTTCAACATTCTAACAGAATCCTCACCCAATGCTGTTCCATGAGCTTTGGCAGTTCCTTCCTGTTTAGTTCCATAACCAATGGTTGTCTTGCATATAATCATGGATGGTTTGTTGGTTACAAGACGAGCTGTTTCGATTGCTTCCTTGATTCTTAGCAAGTTAGAGTCGGCATCATGAACTTCAATGACATGCCAACCCAATCCTCTTGCAACCATGGCTGTGTCCTGAGTGAATGTTAGATCCGTACTTCCATCTATGGTAATTCTATTGTCATCATAAAAAACAATGACTTTGTTGAGTTGTTGATGTCCTGCAAATGACATACCCTCTGTGGACATGCCTTCCATCAAATCACCATCTCCACAAAAGACATACGTGTAATGATCAAATAATTTCAACTCATTTCTGTTAAATCTCTTGGACAAGTGACATTCAGCGACTGCCATTCCAATAGAATTGCACATACCCTGTCCAAGTGGACCTGTCGTAGCATCCACTCCATCTGTATGGAACCATTCGGGATGACCAGGAGTATTCGAATCCAAAGTTCTTAATTTCTGTAACTGTTCCATGGGCATGGATTCATATCCTGTTAAATGAAGTAATGCATATTGAAGTGCACAACCATGTCCATTACTGAGTATGAATCGATCTCGATTGATCCATGTTGGATCTTTACCTGAAGCTCTGTAGAAATATTTCCATAATACGAAAGCGATGGTTGACATTCCGATTGGCATGCCAGGATGTCCACTTTTGGCTTTCTCTACCATGTCTGCAGTTAAGCAACGAAGTGTACCTACAGCAATGTGTTGTAAATGAGGTTTGAGAATATTTGACATTTTGACAATTTCTCGATTGTCCAAATCTGGATGTAATGAAATGTTAATAATCTTTTTTTCTACATTTTCTAGAGAGTAGAGAACATCTCTATAGATGGTACTCTTTTCAGACCATCTTCTCAATCTGGATTTATCGCAAGGTATCATTAAACCATGTTCCAACATTTCGTCCACTTTTTCCAAAGTGAAAAAACCTTTCAGATATTCCATTGCTTGTTTCAATCTCTCTCCTTTCAAATTAGCATTGAATACCAACACACTAACAGTCGTAGTCATTGCCTTACCTTCCAAAAAAGGAAGAACTGTCAAAGTCCAATTTCCCTGCTCGAATTTTGACTTGAGTCCACAAACATTTTCCAATCTTCCAACGTAGGCAGCATGTGGAATGCATTCTCCCAACCTACATGTATCCACCAACTCTTGTGCACTCACAATCTTGGTCGCATTTTGCACAGTTCTGAAATTCTTCAAATAGGAAGGTGAAATTTCGTCCATCTTTGAAAGTGGAAAGTTTTCTCTAGTGATTTGAATTCTATTGGAATTAGTAGCACCCTGTTGATCCAAAGCAAACGATCTGACTATTAACATGGAGCTAGAAGCTGCCATATCTGGAAAAACAATTGAGTCATAACCATGTTTTTCAGCAAGTGCTTGAAGTGACTTGATTTCCTTATCAAATTCACGTTGCATGACAATGTATCCATGGACAAACATTGGTATTCCATACCAGTCGCCATTAAATTGACAGGATTGTTTTGTAAACTCAAACATTTCGTCAGGATTACAAAGAGAATTCAAATAATCTTTTTGAATTGGCTGAATGAGTCCTCTATCGATTAGATGAGGAAGAAACATGGAATCTACACTAAACACATCTGGTAATTCAGATGAGAGAAGAATTTCATCTGTGTAACAATCAAATTCACCTTCATTTTGTCCAATTACTATATTTGGAGAAATATTTCGAAGTGCATGAGAAATTTGGACTCGATTCTCATGAGAAAGAGAGTTTGGATGGAATAAACTCAATTCTATGGATTGGTTTGATTTTTTCATATTTTTTTTATTCAAATTTTTGTAATTTTTGGAAAATTTCTTTTATGGATTTTCTATATTTGGTCATTTACCGAAATCTTAACAATTTTCAAATAGATTTTAAACAATTCAAGTAAATTATTATTAATAGCATTGGTCTCTTTACAATTGCAATATTTCAACACCACACTATTGAATTTTTCTGAAGAAATTAATGAAAAAATAGAAAAAAATTATTGTAAAGTTTATTCGAAACCGTTCACATCTTTCCAATGATAAATTATTTCAATATTCACACATTGGTGCATTCAATATATTTTCTTGCTGTTGTTTTTTTCTTTTTTCAAAACAAACTTCAAAAATGGTAATTGTCAAAATTTGGAAATCTTTAAGGCCCTTAACTGTCTAAATTTCTGACATTTGGATAACAAACTTCACAACAGAAAAAAATGCACGTCACGAACTCACCAACATCAAGTATACGAAATTCTCATCATTTATTTCTTCTGCTTTCGTTTACTTTAATTTTAATAACAAAATTCGTGTTATCGGAAACAATTATTCTCGATACTACTAAACATATTTCACTAACCCAACAATCTATTTATTATGTGGATCGGTCGCAGTCAATTGTGAGTGTAAATGATTATTTGACAGCTTTCGTCTGGAGGAAAATATTCCAAACTAATCAATTGGACGATTCACTGGTGAAATCTACCGAATCAATGGTGGAATTTTTGAAGGAAGAATCCTCTCGTCTTACTATTGGTGTAGAAAAAAGACTTTATTCAGAGTTTCAGAGTTTCGTTTCGTTTCATAATTTAAATCTGAAAGTTCATTATTTTACATTTTCAGGAGATGCGTGTCGAAATCCTAAAAACGTTCTCTTGCAATACGATGTTTTATTTTCTACATTACAATATTTCTATGATTATTTGAGGTTATACAGAGATTCGGATAGTTTCGTTCTGATTAATCCATCTGATTTTATTCCTCTTCCTCTAGTTCCATCAATTTTGAACGTCATTTCCCAATCAGAATTAACCCAATTAAGTGATTTGCAAAATTTGAACCAATTGAATGGATTTTTCACACTCAATAATTATTCCACTATCAATTCCACGAATTCCAATGAGTTTACAATACATTGTTCATCATATATAGATAAAGATATGAATAACGTGATGGCCAGATTGAAACTGTTTGGAAATTTGTCAAATTCTGATTTGAATTTCATTAATTTTGTGAGTGGAATTACTTTACAAAAACCACAATATTGGATTTTAGACGAAATTGTAAAGAATACATTGAAAGTTTACAATATTTCAATACCAACACATAGTAACAACTCAAACGAAACTCTACTGGAATTATTGAATAATTTTCTACCTTCCACATGTCATAAATGTGTCACGACTCAATGTGTTGATTTTGCCTTCGCGAATGGAGATTATTGGCTCATTCCATGTTCCATCATAGAAATAGGTTACTTTCTCTGCTTATTTGCCAGTCAAGCATTCAGAAAACGATCACTCACCAGAAGATTACTCACTCCCTACCTTCCAATATTCATCGTTCCATTGGAAATTTGTTTCTCCACCTTTATGAATAATGCATGTTACTATTTTCTGAGATATTTCTCAATGATTGTGGTCTGTTTCATTGTCATGAACTATAGCTTGACAGTTGTACGTTATTACTATTTGAGAAATTTGTACACTTTGATTACAAAAGCTGAAGGAATGAATAGTGATAAGGTAATTCATAGAATGAGAAAATTCTCTGAATGGAAATATGGATTGTTATTTACAATGGCAATTCCTCTTGTGATTGCTTTGATATTTTCGATACATGGAGTGACATTCTTCTTTACTGATTTGTACGATGCTGAATTTACCTATCTACTTGTGGGAAATGCAACAATTGTCTTGTATTGTGTGTTGGGTTGTTTGTTGGGATTTGGAGCTATTGTATTTGATATGATTGTGAATAGGAAAATTATTAAGGAAAAGGGATTGAGAAGATTTCTCCTATTTGATGATCCTTTTCTTGTTAGAATTGATTTGCTACTTTTGGTATTTTTAATTGTGAATACCATTTTAGTAATTATATTTTATGGATCTGGAACGAGTGAATTTTTTATAGAAATGAGTCGATTTTTTAGGTTTTTGGTGTTTGTCTGTTTCATGTTTATTTGTGGTGGAACTGTTTTAGTTTCCGAGTTTATTCAATTTATTAGAAATGCCAAATATGGAAATGATTCTAATATTCAAACAAATTCTAGTCAGTTTGATCAATTGGAAAATTATTTGAAAAATTCAGAATTTCAAATTCTTCTAAAAGAATATGCTTCTAAAGAAATGTCTATTGAAAACTACTTGCTAAATATGGATTTACAAAAAATAATTTCAAAAAAGGGAATTGATAAATCTTTAGAAATTGACGATTTGAGAGATTTGGAATGTAAATATATGAGAAGTCAATCGATTTTCGAAGTTAATATTCAATCAACTGTGAGGAGAAATTTCTACGAATTACTGAACGAATGTGAAAAATCCTTAAATGACAACATTTCGAATAATTCCAATAAGAAAACCAAAGTTCGACAATTGGTTGAGATTATTCATCCCCCAATCTATGCTAATTTATCAGATACTTTTCTAAGACTTGCCTCAACGAGAGAATTTAAAAATTGGAAAATTGCTTACACAATTCAAAGTAATACCATTAATTAGGTTTTTATGAAATTGAAAATTGGAGGTATATTCAAATATCCTAAATTTAAACTATTGGAAATTTTCACAAGGAAAGCGGAGTATTAAATACTTGTAAAGAAAACCTTTCCTTAGTGCAGAGGCCAAATATTGAATATTTATAATTTTTACAAAATAAATTACTAAAAAAAGGTGGTATTCAATACCTTTTCTGTCTTTTTCTTCAAAAAGTAAATGTAGGCATCTTGATCTCCTTCAAAGCAATACTCTATTCCCTGTACAAGAGAGTAAAAATTGGTATTCATTCTTGGAGATGAAATTTCATTGGTTGTGTTATCATCACTATCACTGGAATCAAAACTATTCATGTGTGACATGCGGAGGAGAGTTGGTTTTGGTAGGAGAGTTCCATTGAGGGATTTTATGGAGAGTAAATAATAGGAGAGTGGAAGGAAGGATGTGAATAGAGATTCTGATGGATTTTCTTCTCTCTGTAATTTAAATTCTTCTAAGAATTGAATACAATCAAGTGGAGTGACATTACTATTCTTGGGATTGGGTATCTTGACAGTGTCAATTTGTTCAACTAATAAACTGTGATAATAATTAATTAGAATATTTTGTACGGTATTTTCAGAGCTTGGTTGATTTAACATGCAGGAGAGCATTCTTTCATAGTGGAATACGTCTCTATTTTCTCTGTCTTTGAGCTTTTGAATGAGTGATCTCATTAGTGAACACCAAGCTTTCTTTTCCTTTTCACTTGTTTGTTGTTGTGACTTTTTCATAACTTCATGAATAACATTATCAGTCACAATGAACATCTCCCTATTGATGTATTGAATGAGATTATTGAGAGGAAGAACATGGACACCAACTGTGGCAAAATGTTCTAAAAATCCAGATGGAGAAGGAAAGTTTGTTTCCTCCAAACTAACGTGTAATTTTTGCAAGAGATGGAAATACCACATTGGATACACTTCTGTACATTTTCCCTGATTGAAATGTCGTTGTTTTTGATGGAAGGTATGGAGGATTTGAGTGAGGGTAGTAAATAAATATTGTGAAAGTTGGAATAGGGAACTAGTGTAATCTAAAATGGTTTTCATTCTGGTAGCTTTGGTTGGTCCTGCTGATGTATATTCTTGCAAATCAATTGGTATTAGTTGACTATTTACAAGTAGAAAGTTACTTAAAACATCTATAAAATCTGTTTTGGATTTTTCAGAGTAGAAATCAATCTTTTTCGTTTGTCTTACTCTAAGTTTTTCGGCATCTAATTCCGAGTCTTCTGGTGTGTCTTCATAGTAAGAGTCATCCTCTTTTTCTGAACTTTTTGGAGAGCTAAATATACTGTTGAACCACTTCTTTTGAAAGTAGGTATTCTTCTCCTCAAAATATTTTCCATTTATATTGTTACTTTGTCTTTCTACGGAGGGACTTGGTGGAGTGAGAATGTGATTCTTGTGGTGGGCCAAATAAACAGCGAGTGGAATAAACTTTGGTGAACTGGCTAGTTGTGACTTGACTTGTTTGATTAAATCGAGTGAGCATTCGGTATTTTCTCTTGGATATGGAATGGTTCTTACAATGGAATCGAACTGTATATTTCAAAATAATATTAAATAATATTTAAATTCAAATATTTGAAGTGCTACATACTGTTTTTGTGAAAATATTGTTTCCCATAGTATTTCCAATTTTAGTGGTTACAAATGACTGATCGTATGAGTAATCATCAAGATATTGGCTATTTTCTCCACATTCCAATAGTGAAATTGGGATATATCTCAAAAATTCCTTATCAGCAATACTGGATGAAGATGAATTGGTTAGTATGGAGGCAGTGTATGAGGTGGAAGCTGAAATATTTGAAGCCAACTCCATATATCCTGCTCCAATTAAATATTCCATAAAGAGTACTTCGTCGTCGACCAGTGTAGTATGTTTACAACGACTGTCACAACCATTAACAGGAAAAGGTTCACAAAAGGCTCGTATTGTTCTCTCTGTAAATATATTATTCTTGAAATGAGTGATGGCCAAATGTAAAAATTGAATAGTGGTTTTCCTAATGTTCGGAGCTGAATACATATTGGTAGGATTGTACATTGAACTCTGTTCTTTTTTCAAGTTAACCAGCCAATTTAACATGTTATCAAAATTGAAATCATACTTGAAAAGTAGTCCTCTATTCAAATCGAGAATATATCCACCAGAGCTAGATCCAGAAAAGAGTGAAACAACATCCTGTTCAGATTTTCTATCAATGACACTTGTTGATTCATTGTCCAGGAAGGGTACAGTATCTGAACCTATGAAATTCATCAGAGGCCAAGGTTCATGATCTTTGGAACAGTCCACAATTTGCAAATACCACCCAGGAATGTACACAATGACAGTATCTCTGCACGAACCAAAGAATACTCTTGGATGACTCGTTGAAGATTTCCCATCAGCTGGTAGAGGAATTGAAAAGTGCATCTTTTTCTTGTGATGAAGAATGAAAATGGCAACATCAATAAAGTTATCAGGAATATTACTCGAATATTTCGCCTGTTGTTGACACAGACATAGGCAGTTCTATAATTAATAAAAAATAATATATAATAAATATTAAATAAATTAAATACTAACATTTTCCAATCGAACTATTTGAAAAGTTGTATTAGAATCAAAACTAGATGGACCAGTTCTCCAAGGTAATCTAATCTTTTCGTGAGTGTATATTGATCTTTCTAAAATGGATCGTTGAAACGTCACTGGTATTGTACATTCTAAAATTTGGTTAGGTTTCTTCTCTGAAATAGAGGCACATCGTAAATTACACATTGTTTTTAAGAGTTCAGGTTCTGAATTTTCATTGGTCGATGAAGAATCCTTCAAAATTGTCATATAGTACAATAAACTCCTCACTGGATCATATTGCCACCAAATGAAATTCTTTGCAAAAATTACCAATTCTCCAATGCTTTCCACAATCTTGGAAGATTGATTCTTTTTAAATAAACTACTAAATATACTGCTCGATGACTCACTAAAAACAATGTTAAACATTTTGATGGATTCCTTCTCAGTGACAAACAAGAACCTGCAATTCTTATTATCAACTGGAAGGGTATTTTTCGACTCGGTAATACTATTGTCAGAATTCAAATCAACTTGTGGTGGATGAATGAACTGAATACATTGAAAAACGTGCATAGATGTTTGTGGAGGTCGGAAGATGAATCTATTTTGTTGTTCTTGAAATTTAACAACATTTTCAGCATTCCACTCCTTATTGAATAAGGAATTAATTTCCACAATAAAGATTTCATAGTACAGCTGGTTGTTGCTTGCCTTGTAAAAGTGAGTAAAAGCCAGCAAGTTTCGTTGAGGATTAATTGATGCATATAAACATTTCATTTTGGAGTGATGAATGTATAATACTTTCCTATCAGCATTGGTGATTTCATTCATTCCCTGTTTACTCGACTTGACAATCGGAAATTCCACTAATTCAATACAAGTTTTGTTCTATTTGTTGTTATTATCATCATTATCAAAAATTGATCCACAATTAATAATACATCCATTATTTAATAATATAATAATAATAATATAATTCATGATGAGAAAGAAGGTTGATAATGATCAGAATAAAGACACTTACCAAAATTAGATCATCACGAACTACAAGAAACAAATTTGATCTTTCCTGTCCAACGACATAGGTTGAAATTCGCTTCCTCCTCGATTTAGGTCTTGTATTAGTGGGAGTATTAGTAGTAGCATTACTTTCTGTTAGTTCCGAAGAAGGTTTATCAATTACAATTTCATCAGTACTAGTACTCGTTGATGTTATACTATTCATTAAATCATCAGATAAAAGGCTTTGATTAATCTCCGAAGAAATTCCATTCAATTTTCCTTCTATTGTTGTATTGGATGATGTTGAAGAATTAATTAAATTATTATTATTGCTTGTTGATTTCAAACTTTCATCTTCTTGTGGGAATTCTTGTTGTTGATCCTTATCCATCTGATCCACTGTTGATGTTGTAGAGGTTGATGATGGTAAACCTGCTGTTGTTGTTGGTGTTGTAGATGATTCACTGTTCCCAATAATAATACTACTGCTTTCTCCAGAAACACCACTCAAACTGATCATCACCTCCTTGCCACCCGAACCCGTCCCCATATCAACACCTCCAGCACTGCTGATCAGCAGCTGATTCTGTTGTTGTTGATGATTATGTATCTGCTGCTGTTGTTGATTATTCATCAGCAAATTCAATAGCCGAGAAGCATTGGTGAATTTCAGCATTTTTTCCAAGCTAAACTCGCAAGATATTTGGCTTGTGAAATTTACTTGATTTTCAATTGAATTAAAAAGGAATTTCAAGAACTGTTGGAGAGACACATGAATGTTTGGCACAGATATTGGATGAATGACGTTGAATGGTTTTTATTAAAAGAATGAGTTTAACAATTGATTGTACATGGTAGCATTGTTAAACATGGAAACTAAATGGTTGGCACAATAGAATCGAGAGGTTGGTACTCCTGTTGGGTATTGGACTGTGTGCATGTAGGACTTGACCTTTTCATCTGGATTGAGGTTTTGTTTGGTAGCAGCACCTCTAGCAGCATCGACACAAATTTGCATATTGTAATCTGGAACAATCCAATCTCCACTAGTTTGGAAGAAGAATACTCTTCTATCTCCTGACAAGTCCACTTCTTTCATCAGTGTTTCTGGATCAAGAGGGAATGGAGGGAATCCCATATTTCCTTTCACTAAGGCAACAGATTTTGTACTTAGAATTGCAGTCTGGGCAAATGATTCAGAACCAGTTACAGAGACTGCATTGGTGAATAAGGTCTTGTACACATCACATGGTGCAGAGTCAGTGAAGAGTAATTTAAATCTCTTCTCCTTTGCAAAAGTAACAATGGCTGTAGCACCTCCCATAGAGCTACCAAATAATGACACATCTGGTGTTTGAGTATCCAAGAATGTGAAACGTTTGGTGAGATAATCCAAAGCACCCAAAACGTCTCTATGTTCGTAATATCCAAAGCTGCCATAAGGGTTTTTATCATAGTCATCCGAATCTCCATGATTTCTCAAATCAATTAAGAGTAAATTATATCCCTTTCTATATAACATTGAGGCTGGTTCCAATGAAGCATAAGTGAATCTACATGTTCTAATTCCGTGAATGACAATAATAAACTTGCTATTACTATTGATAGAAGGTTGAGGAATAAATGTACCAACAATATTTCCCTTTCCTGTGGCAACCCAATCAGGATCACGTGATTTAAAAGTTACTGTTTCAATTAAATTCGAAACAGATGGAATAAAGTAAGGTGCAAAATATTCTGTTGTGTTGATATTCTCCGCAATAGGTTCGCAATAATCAACAATATCAACCAAGGTATAATTCCAAGGCCTACTGTCTCTCATCGCCTTGAAACAATCTGATTCTTTATCTGGTTTGAAGGCAAAATCCCATAAAAAGGCTCCTCCACCCTAGAAAATATGCCAATGAAATATGGATCCGTAAGTTTATCAATAAAATTGTTCAATCCTACTTACAAACCAAGCAATTAAAAAGACTGCAATTACCAAAAACACCAAAATCAACAAGCAAACAACAAAGGTAATGCACAAACCACATAAAACTTTGGACAGAATACTCTTATTACGAGGAGGTGATATTTGTTGAATCTCCACCTTAGTAAGAACAGGTGAAGTGTGTTGTTGAAGTTGTATAGGTCCTTCCTGATGTACCGACCCAGAGGCCTTAATACCATCTCTTAATTCAATGTCTTGCATTTTTTTTTGATATTTCTTTTGAGATGGGTTCACTGTGTTGTTTCTGCGCGCTCTTTTTAAAAGAGATGTTTAATATTTCACTGATGAACTTTTTGCCGCCCAAAGAATTAATTACGGTACTTTTTTTTTCAAAAACTGAAAAAAACTAGCTTTGCTATCTAGATTATGAGAGAGAATTGATTCTCATCAATATTGAAAAGTAACTTGGAAATGGTAAAAGGTCCTATTGTATTGAAGAACATATTATGGAACAATCGGGAAAAGAACAGTAATATAAATTGATTATTTAATGTATTTGATATATAATGAGGAGAAATATTTAATATTCCCAGTCCAATCTATCGATTACTTCGATGGCCTTCTTGACTGCTTGATGTTTTTCTAAGAGCTTGCGATAAGAATCCAATTCTGATTTGCTTGGTTTCATAACATCAATAATACGCTGGATTGGAACACCTGGAAGTTCTATTGGTTCAATTGGAAAATTGGAAACCCTCTTATTGTTCACTCTCTTAACTGAAAGACATTGAGGCATTTCTTCACAAGGGCTTATGATTAATTCATCATACAATATTTGAGAAACCTGATCAGCGATTCTTGTAGCAGCAATATTCAAATAAGACTTGAATTTGATCAATACCTCAATAGCAGCACTCTGTTTGGAACTCTTAGCAGGTAAATCTTGGAGATAAGACACAAAGGTAATATCATCTGAATAGCCAAACTGTGACAGTTGTTCTTTCAAGGTTTCCGCTTCATAGCTTTCTTGTTGCTTACCTTTCAATTTGCATAATTGTCTGATGAGCTGAGATCTAACTGCATACGATTTATCCATGGTGAATGTTCTTTGAATCTCTCTTCTAAATACCTTATCAATGATCTTCTTGGTTGTCTTGAATACAGAATCATAATGTTGCTTCAATTCAGTTTTCAACATTTTTTCAAGCTTGGAAGATCCTATCTGCTTTGGAACAAGATGTTTTAACAACATACGTTTCACTCTTTCCCATGCTTCCAAAACATATTTATCAACAACCTTACGTACATTTGCCATTTCTAAATTTGCAAGTTTTAACAGTATTGTTGGTTGGTAGAGATCAGGGAGACCAGGGAAACCACTTGTTTTGTCAATGAACTTAGTAATGGCTTCAAAATAATTATTGATTTGAGTTTTAGAAGAGGTCAATATGGTTAATATCTCTTCGGATAATGCTTCGGTAACAGAGGAGAAAACAGACAAGCTTAATGGATTTGAAGTTACTGACTTCTTCAAATCTTCAGAAGAGGACATGTCAAGTATTTCTGTATTAACTGAAATGTCTTTGAATGCAGAAACTAAACTAGAAATACTAGTTTCATAGCTTCTTATCAACGCCTCATCTCCATAAGCATAAAATTGTTGAATATTATTGGAGGTGTTTTCAAGTTGGGACTCAATTTTGATAAGTTCTTGTTGAAGCAACTCTTTTTGCTTTGGAATACTTTCTTGTAAGTGCTCATTCTGAATTTGAGTCAACTTTTCAATAAGTGCAGCTCTTCCCTTACTTCCATCAGGTGCATCCAAAGAATCTAACAATGAGCTTTCAATTTTTTCACATTCTTCAATGGAAAGGTGCTTCTCGTCACTAGTGCGATTCTTCAAGGCGACAAAACCATGCAATAGGGAAATAGATCCCTCATTCTTGAGAGACTTGATTAATTTTTGTCTGATTTCCTTATCATTGATGCATTTGTCAACTTTGGTAAGAACACAGAGCGTTCTTTTTTGATCCTTGTCAACTTCTTCAGCTTCTGTGAACCCGACAATAGTTTGTAAGTCTCTTCCACCATCTCCAACGATAAGAATACAATCCTTCTCAGTCATATTCTTTCTAACAAGTTCCCTAATGTTCTCAGCAAGATACGGATTATCTTTAGAGCTTTTAGTTATCAAACCTGGTAAATCGACAAGAGTTAAATCTGGAACGTGTGGAGAGATGACTTGAACTTCAATCAGCTCATTGGCAACTGTTTCATTTCCAATGTGAAGTTGAGTAATATTTCTGATAGTATCATCCAAAAGTTTGGCTCCATCTTCAGACTCTGGATTGGGAATTTCAATTGGGCTTTCAATTTTAGCACTCTTAACAATAGCTTTAGCTTCTTCACCGTATGAATGATTCATTCTTAATTGGAGTGGACAACGAGTGACCATGTCTTGACCTGTTACGAATTTAACACCACTCAAGTATTCGAGAACAGAACTTTTACCAGCACTTTGCTCACCAACAACAACAATGTTTGGTGGACGAAGATCTTCAAAATTTTGAAGAATTGAAGAGAGTTCATCATTGATTTCTCTGTACTTGTTGGACTGAGCATGGAGTTTGCTCATAGAAACCTCTTGGTTTGAAGAAGATTGCTTGTTGCTGGGAAGCATTTGTTAGTTTTTTTTTTGAAAATCTTGAATAAGAAGAATGTTCGCTATTTATTGAGTGAAAATTGTGGAATAATCAAGAATTGAATTTAGTAACCTGCCATTTTTAGAGTTAAGAATTCCCAACCCTAAAATTTCATTTTCGCACTACTTCTATTTTGCAAAAATAGAAGCTTCATTTCAAAATAGAATTAAGAAAACATAATGAAATTAATTGGAATACTGTAACAATGTTCCTTGAAATTCTTGGATTGGAAAACATTTATCAAAATCCATTCCTTCCCAATACAAAGTCGTCATCCAAAATTCTTTCTTCCTTCCATCAATTTTCATAACTAAAAAAAAATGCTTGGAGGAAAGAAACATTCGAAATCTGCTGGAGACAACACTCCTCAGGACGAAACTTTGAACGAAAGTGAAGAATCAGCTAGTCATCACCATCATCACAAAAAATCACCAGTTTATGATGACTATTACGATGATTCTCCATCTTTCGTATATCAAGATGAAGATAGTTTCATTTCGAATTTCGGGATCAATAGTAAAAAAGGAGAACACGTGAGAAGGCCTTCAATATTAAAGAAAGCTGGAAGTTTAGCTCAGAAAAATAGACTCTCCAAGAATATTTCTTCTCCGACAGTCAATCGTGGAGTTTCGTTTAGAGATTCGAATGAAAATCCATCATCTCCAATTACATCCATTGGTAATTCGATTAATAATTTTATAGAAACCACTGACACCATGAAAATGATTGATGAAAATCATGTTGTTATCATTGATGATGAAGAAACCGAAACAAACCAAACTAATCCTACCGAATATTACACTAGTAGAGATGGCAATTCTAAAATGGCACGTGACAGATACTCCATTGATGAGCTAGCCATGCAACCTAAAATTGTCATGTCAAGACAATCCATCAGATTATTGAAAAATGTCATTCCCAAAAAAAGAGAAGAAAGAACTTGGAGACATAGACTTTATCTATTAATGAATCAACCACAATCTTCCAAATGGGCATTTCTCATTGCAATAATTGTTAATTTTATAGTTTTGATATCTGTCATTGTCTTGATTTTGGAATCTTTTGCAGAACTTTATCAATTTGAAAATACTTGGTGGATAATTGAAGGAATTTTAGCATTTTTCTTTACAGTTGAGTATATGTTGAGATTGATTGGAAATATCTATTCGAAAAAGGATGCCAAGTACTTTTTCTTTAATATTATGAACTTGATTGACTTGATGAGCTTTATTCCATATTATTTGGAAGTTGTATTGTATTATATTTTCAGATATTCACTTGGACAGGATCATTACATTACTTCAATGGTTATGAATTTGCAAATTATTGGAGTTTTCAGAGTTTTGAGATTGTTGAAAGTTTTCACATTGACTAAACATTCAGGAAAGGTCAGATTATTGCTGATTGCCATTCGAAGATCTGTAGATTTATTGTTGGCTGTCATTTATTTTGTAATTGCTACTGTATTTATATTGGGAACTTTGATTTATTATGCAGGTAGGTCAATTCATTACATTTTATTACAATGTTTAATATTTAATATGTAATTTCATAATATAGAGAGAGGAACATTTGATCATGAATTGAAAGCATTTGTGAGATTTTCACCTCTGGATGGAAAAACTAAAGAAATTTCTCCATTTTCCAATATTCTTATGGGAATGTGGTATAGCTTAATATCTATAACCACAACAGGTTACGGCGACATGATTCCTGTCACTATTATTGGTAAATTAATTGGAACAATCTCCATTCTTACTGGATTATTAATCGTTGCCTTGCCATCCATGATTATTGGAAGAACCTACTCTGAAGTTTTGCATCAATACGAAATGGAGAAACTCGAATTGAATTTGAATGGAGGAACTGTCGATGAGGATGACGATAGTGCACTGGAGGATGAGGATGAGCAACTCGATGATAGTGAGCTCACTCTGGAAAGTATTCAAAGTGCTGGAGCAAAAGCAGCTCTCTCTGAACAATTAGCAGAATCGAATAGTGTGAGTGGAGGAGAACCTGAAATGAAAATACCTACTTCTCAACAAGAATTACAAAAGGAAAATGATCAAATTGATCAATCTTCACTGTTCATGTTACTGGACGAGCAAGATAAGATTCTACTAGAAACTTTAAACAAGATTGAAAAGACAAGACGATTAATTCAAGCTTCTAAAAGAAAAACCAACACAGTTGATTAATTTTATGGCAATTATGTCTGAAATGATTAGTTTTACCAACAGTTCCAAGTTCTGTTTATTGAATGAACTTTGAAAACTAAACAAAGCAAAAATTAGTTCATTTCATCAATTCAAACTAATAAAAAATGATTGAAGTTGAATTGGATAGATTAGAATTTGAAGAATCAGAGGAAGAAGCCAGAAAGATAAAAGAAACATATTTCGGAGTAAATATGGACAAGTTCATCACATCATTCGATGAGAAAAACGAAACCATGCCAACCCGAACTATTCCGCTAACTGTCCAACAAGGGAAAGCTCTCTTGCACTTGTGTAGACACTTTAAGAAGGGAACAGTGATGGAGAATGAACAAGATTTAATGGAATTGAAACAAGTTTCGGATAATATTGAAAAAATTATGAAAGAGCTGAATGAGAATAATTATAGAGATGGATTTATTGTCAAGTTGACAAGTCGTTCTCCAAAGGATATCACTCCAAATCATGAAAAGACAATGAAGAAGTATCGTGAATTATTGGAAACTCCTCGATTTAATCCCAATCAATTTACGAATGTTGATTTGAAAAGAAATGCTCATTGGTCTGCATTGTATTTTGCCTCACTTCAATGCTTGAGAGTTTACAATGCACAAGAAGCAATTTCATTACTTTCTCAAAGTTCTAGAATTGAATATGACTTGCTGTTGGATTTAACATTCGAAAGTGATTTTTCATTGGGATTAGTTGTGAGACCGTGGGATGCAAACATGACTCTTGAATCTGAATTTAGAGGAATTGTTTACAATGGAGAATTGAAATGTCTTTCACAATATTTCACTCAATGTTATTTGGAATCTCTTGAAAAGGATAAGGAAGAAATTGAAAAGCATTGTAAGGAATTCTTTTCAACCACGATCAAACCAGTATTGCAAGAACATGCTCCAGAGTTGACCAATTATATTGTGGACTTTTCTCTAACGAAGAATGAAGCCAATCAATTCAGTGTCAAGTTGTTGGAAATTAATCCGTATTTAACGACAACTGGAGTTGGTTTGTTTGATTGGGAGAAGGATACAGAGCCACTCTTTGAAAATCCAAAATCTCAATTCGAGTTTAGAATATTGACAGAACCAATCATTTCTCAATTATTGAAAGATCCTGACTCTCTTGTAAAGAGTTGGAGGGATATTATTACCCAACTCGAATGAACTGTAGTTGAGAAGAAATGAGATCATATGTGTTCACTCTAATTCATACTACCGAAGGTGCACGTCGTGAATTTGCGCTTAACTTCTCAATTCGAAATAAATACTAAAATAATCTATATGGTTTATCAATAAATCGATTCAATTTTAAGAATCCTTATGACCAATAACAGTAACGAATGTTTTAGGGTGCAGACATTCTGAGAGAGGGCTTGACATTTGTGTCGGAAATGGCTGTACGTTGAATGAAATCTCATAGAATCCATTTTCGTATGGATTCCAGTAGGCGTTTATTCTAAATCCAAACAACAAAAAAAATATGAACAACACTCAACCTGAACTTGTAGACATAGAGGTTCATCAAGGTATGTTTAAATGCTAATTAACCTTACCAATCATCTGTGATACCTATTCGAAACCTTTTGCAGAAACCAAAAATGTTTCTTCATCAACAAGAACAATTCTTCTCTACATTTCCATATTGGCAATTACTTGTGTAATTGTTGCCACAACAACCTTGTTTGCTGTTAGTGGAATCCCAACTTTCGTTCGTTCTCTCAGAGAAAGTGCATTCAGCTGATTCTACCACCACAACTGCCACCCCAACATTGGCCTGTGATTATGCCATCCTGGGTGGTGGTATCTCAGGTGTTTTCACTGCCTACCAACTTGCAAAGAATGGAAAGAACAATATCTGTGTGGTTGAATCTACTGATAGACTTGGTGGTCGATTGGAAACTTTCACATTGGGTAATTCTAAAAAGTATGATATTGGTGGTATCAGAGTTAACAATCAACATACTGTCATGAAGAATCTTGCTAAGGAATTGAATATTACTCTCGTTGGTGGATATTACTTGGATAAGAGTGAAGCTCAAGATTTGAATTTGCCAAGTAATGTCTTGATGGTCTCTAGAGATGTTAGTACCAATGATAAGAACGTTTTGAGAAGTCAAGCTTATCCAAAGGCAACTGGTGCTGTGAGTGGCTGGGATGTATTGCTTGGAACTTCAAGTGAATTCTTTATCAATTCCACATTGCAAGATACCTTCTCTTTCACACAAGCTGGATTGGGAAGTGCTGAAGAAATGTCCTATTTCCAATCTACCTTCAGATTCAGAGGTGATTTCCAAGCTGTTGATAGAAAGACCTATGCTGAATTTGCCAATGTTGATTCTATTGACCCATTGAACTTTTATCCGGTTGGTGGTATGGGAGAATTTGTTAGAAAAATGTCACTCATTGCTCAACAAAGTGGAAAGGTCAGATTCCTTTTATCTGAAACTGTTCAAACCATCAATCCACACTCAAGCAGTACTACCAACAAGAAATACCGCATCCAAACATGTTTGAGAAATATAGAAGCAAAGAACGTTGTGATTGCCATTCCACCACTTGCCTTGAAAGATATCAAGGGAAGCATTGCTGCCACATTGAATGCTGAACCTGCATTCAAACAATCCAAGCCACTTCCAGTCTCCACCATCACCATGAGATTCCAACAAAGATGGTGGGAACAAGCTTCACCAGCCAGAAGAATCTGGACTGATTCCAATTGTATCCAACTCATTGAAATTCCAATTACTCCAAGTGGTATCGAAAGTAATGCCTTCAGAGTTTCCTATGCTGATGGACATTGTGCCAGAGAGTGGAATGACCTATATCTAGGTGGTGGAAAGTCTCTGATTGAGAAGACCATCCTCCAATACTTGACGGCTATCTATCCTGGAGTGTCCATTCCACAACCTCTTGAAACTGTATTCAAATTATGGCCTGATGCTTGGTATTTTGAACAACCTAGTGCTGCAGTTACTTTGGCTGATAAACAAAAGTGGGCCTTGAATCCTATCCAGAATGAAAATGTTGTACTTGTTGGTGAAGCCTTCCATTTAGAGAGAACATGGTCAGTAGGTGCTGTAAAGTCTGCTATTGATGCTTTGAATCAACGTTTTGGTGTAAAGACTAATTATTAAATAACAATATTGCCATTCTCTTCCTACATGTTGATAAAAAATTCGTGATGATTTGGCGAGAGAAGTGTTGTGTTTTATTTTTTTTTGATAAAATTTTTGAATTTTTCAACGGCTAGTTTTACCTCTCTCTTTAGACAGAAGCATCATCAACAATCATCACACAGTATCGTTGGTCTCTTCCAAAGACTTTAAAAAAGCACAACAAAAACTCGCCAACAATGTAGTGGTACTATTTTCTATCTTCCTACCCGTCACCTGCATGAACTCGCATCTAAAAACATCAATATCATCTTTAAAAAATGAACTATCCGCCCAACACTCATCAGCAATATCCAACCGGCAGCAGTGGTAGTACAAATCAACAACAGCAGCAGCAGCAACAATCACCTCATCAACATCAGGTGCCTGTTCCTTCAATGGTGATGAATAGTAGTAATAATATTTCTAATAATAATTACGGAAGTCAAATGATGATGAAGCCTTCCCCATTAATAGAACCTCCTCCTCTTGAAACTCTAGTGTATAGCACGGAGAGAGCTGGAGGAGAGGAAGCCTTGATGAAGCAATTTGCTAATATCAAATTGGTTGATATGGACAAGTCACTATCGGCTCGCTTGATCAATAACAATCTCTTTGCATCGTCTAATATTCCAGAACAACAACATTATCAACAACAATCCAATGCAATTTATGGCTCTACGATGATAAATATTGGTATGATGAATCCAATTACTTCCTATTCACAAACAACTCAACCTCCCCCAATTGAAAAGCCACCTCAATTCATCTATGATAAGGCTCATTTTGGAGATCTCTCTTCTTCCAATATACTTGAAAAGACAACATCAAGTGCCTACACTAGTGTATTTTTCCATACTCCATTGGGAGCTCTTCCTCAAAATAAGACTACTGTGTACAAGTGGAATGTCAAGATTAACACTATCAAATCATGGTTAGCAATTGGTGTTGCTCATACTCACATTGGAGATGATCATAAATTTGCTTTCTCTCCGTATGATGAACATGGGGCTTATATGCTCTCTGCAAATGGATATATTTGGAATAGACAACTTGCATCAACTAACAAGTATGAATATGTTGCAAATTCCAACTTTGTAGCAGGTGATTTAATGTCTCTTGAACTGAATTGTGGAAAGAGAGAATTGGTAATATATAGAAATAATGGAAAGGTAGCTACCATCAATGATATTCCCCTACCAGTTTATCCATCCTTTATGATGCACGGAATGGAATCTGTAGAATTTATGGGATTAACAGAAACTCAATCATCAGTACAACCAGTCAATGTAGATTTTGTATGTCATAGCTACCACATGACTGTTGAGGGAAAAAAGCTAACCAAAAAGACAAAGGATAGTTATCACACTATATTCTTCAAGAACTTACTTGGTGATGCAAGTAATTATGGCCTCTTCAAATGGAGAATTAAAATTCTTTCGACTACCTCTTGGATTGGTTTGGGTGTAGTTGCTAAGGAAATTGCTCAAGGCCGATTCCATAATCTTTCTCCATACGATAATCATGGAGGGTACATTTACTCACTCAATGGATATGGATGGAGTGCATTCTATGAGGGTACAAACAAGTATACTAACTGTGGAGCTTCTTGCTCTGCTGGAGATATTATTACATTGGAGCTTAATTGCGCCTCAAAGGAGTTGACACTCACAAAAGAGGGTAAAAATTTAATCACATTCAAACAAGTACACTTACCCGTCTATCCTTTTGTCATGATGCACGGAATGGAATCTGTAGAATTACTCGATTTTCAACAAGAAGGTTCCTATTCCAATCCAGATGCCTACAAGTTTGAAGGAGTTCTTGAATTCAAACATAATCCAGAAAATATTGAAAGTGTAGGATGTAAAATTAAAAAGTTGACCGATACTGGATACTCCAACGTGTATGTGAATAGAGAGTTGAGTTTGGAACATATTATCAAGAGATACAAGGTTAAAATTAACAAGTTGGCAAATTGGGCAGGTATTGGTATGATTAAAAAGGAAAATGTAAATTTGTCCACTTATCAGTCCTATTCACCATATGACAATAATGGAGCCTTTATAATTTCTGCCAATGGATATGTTTGGGATGATAATATGAAAGATCCAAAATACAAGCTTGTAGAAACGGCTAAATTTACTGAGGGAGATGTCATTATTATCGAATTGAATTGTATTACAAGAGAGTTGAACTTTTACAAGAATATAATTACCAACAAGATGGCTACTATTGAGAATGTCTCACTTCCAGTTTATCCATTCCTCATGTTGTATGGTAAGGAAGAGGTTGAATTTTTGGAATATTTGGAAAATACCATTGTTGATACTTCTTCATTGATACACAAACCTCCATCCTTCAAATATTTACCATCATGCATTTCAGTGAATGGTCATGTTGTGACTAAAACAAATTCAGGTTCCTATACAAATGTTTTTGTCAATACTCCTCTAGGCAAGTTGAATCAAGACTCGAGCATTTTCAAATGGCAAGTAAGAATTCTTTCACTCTCATGGATTGGTCTCGGCGTTACAAGAAGAGAAGTGGCTGCTAAGAGCAATTTGAGTGTTTCGCCATATGATGATCACGGAAGTTACTTCCTCTCTGCAAATGGTTATGTATGGAATAGACAACTTGCTGATCCATATTATTCTAAGATTGAAGGAGCTACCTATCAAAAAGGAGACGTTCTAGTATTCACATTGGATTGTAAACAACAATCATTACAAATCGCAAAGAGTGGAGTCTTACTGACACGTATAGACAATATTAGGCTTCCTGTTTATCCTTCCTTTGTATTTTATGATGCTGAAAGTGTAGAATTTAGTTGGCTTTAGAATAAATCTTTCATAATTTTATTAAGGGTATATAAGGGATATGACTTTTCTCAATATCTAAGTGTAAGGGACCATGGTCTAGTGGTATGATTCTCGCTTTGGGTGCGAGAGGCCGTGGGTTCGATTCCCACTGGTCCCCATTCCCTTTTAAACTCAAAACCTTTTTTTAGACTTTTTTGACATAATTCACTCCAACCCGTTTGCTACTTTAGAATAACTGTTATTGGATTTTGTTGTAACATTCATTGTAATGCATTAGATCTATTCGAAGTTTCACCTTGTTCCAAATAATTTAAAAAGGAAGAGGCACCAGCTAGCTTGTATCTTTATATTTTTGATGTGTTCCATAAACTTTACAGTCTTCCTTCCAGTTCTTCTACCCCAAAAGATTAGTGCTTTAAAAGTCCGTCTAACAAAGTGACATTCTAACACACACAACATTAAAAAAAACAAAGATCATCATGCCACCTCCACCTCCACCACTTTCTGCAGTTGTCTCAGTCAAGAAGGAGAAACCAATTCCTGTCCAAGAACCAGTTGTTGTTGAAACAGCTGTCGATACAGTACCAGAAATTATTGTGAAACCAAGCAAACCTACTACAACAGTTATTAGAAAGAAGAAAACTAAGCAATATATCACTGTAAAGGAGGTAGCTGCTTGGACTCCAACCTTTGAAGTCATGCAAAGATTGTCCCTTCCTTTAGCAATTTTCAAGGAAATATTCGAAATGGATTTTCCATCCATTGATGATTACCAAATTGGAGATGTCATTGTAAGAGTTCAATTGGATGGTGATGTTGTAGAGCTGAAATTGGGAAAGGAATTGATTAATGATAATTATTCAAATATTAATGCTGGACCAATGATTCAAAATTCGAATGGACTTTGGGAATTGTTGCTTCAACATGGTTTTGAATTGAAGGAAACTAGAAATTACAATTCTTTCCAAGGATCTATCTATCATGGAAGATTGATGGCTGAAAGAGTTTTTGAAAGACGTATCTAGTGTCTAATAAACAATGAAAACTCGTGAAATATTCCTTCAACATTTTGTTTGACTGATGTTGGCTGTGTTGTAATTATTCCAGATGAAACCTATGGTATCTTAACAAGAATACACCAAACAACAATTATGAAAGAGTTGTTGATGATTTTCAAGAGTGGCGTGTTTGGGATGAAACCAAACACTTGGAAAATAGTTGGATTGATAATTCCCCATGTAACATGTTGTGGCACAATGTTTGAGGTGTCATCAAACACATCCGCTGGTGTTAATAAGGCGATGGTCTATACATTATTTATAGACCTTGATAAGCCTTGATTTGTGTTGGCATGCCAAAACGAGACCATTATTGAAAATTCAAAACACAAGTGCTATTTTGCAAGCACAATTAGTCTACTGTAGTAGATTTACAGCAATTATAATATAGTAATGTATCTCACCAAATAGAGCACCAACAAAGCAACATGAAAAGTGGTGAACACAAGGTGTTTGGTGCCTCGTCTCTTTCATGACAATAACAATTTGTTTTTCGAGCAGTTTCAATATTACAAGTACTAGCAACGTTTCAATGTTCAGAAGGTAATATTGATTGTTTTTTATCCATCCTCAATCACTCCTCAACAAGCCAATTCATTCCCGTTAGCATGGATTTATTAAAAAATTATTAAGGCGAAAACAAGGTCTAAATTTAGGTATATTATCGAATTCCAAACTATTTTGTAGCTCTATACTAAAAGAAACACTGCAGCGACAGAACTCGAGTTACTATAATAAACCTTTTGCCTACAAATTAGGGGATTTTAATAATGCCCTAGCAAAATATGGAATGGTTATAGCTTGATTCTTAGCACATGCTGTGATGAACTTGAATCAATAGGGTCTTTTCTGCATCCTTAGCTGTAGTATTATTTAGTAACATTAAGCACATTATTAATTCTTCCATAATTGGTCCTTGTTTTTCAATAAGCCAAAGTTAAATCATTCAATTTGAAAATTCGAAGATTAAAAATTCACAACATGAAACTGTTCTTTTCAGTGTTGGCAATCCTCTTGCTTTTCATTGTGAGTGAGGTTTCAGCTTCAACATGCTATGGCATTCCAGGAACAAACACTTCTACTTGTGGCGGTAATATTTGCTTCGGAAATGATAATTGTCTTTGTGTTGATATTTCCCCTTCTACAGCCCTTACTGCTGAGTCGCCAATTCTCCTCGCAACGAACACATTAACATCTGCTGATGGAAAAATTGCACTTACATTGAACAATGATGGAAGTCTTTCTCAATTTTATGAGGGTGTTTTCATGAAAAACTTTCAAAGATCAGTGGGTCCTGCAAAAAATGGTGGCTACAAGCTTGTGCTCAGCCAAGATGATGGTTCTCTAAAGATTATGGATGGTGCTTCTTTGATTACCACTCTTGATCCAAAAAATGATTGTGGTACCCATACTGGACCTTTTAAATTTGTTCTTCAAGTCGATGGCCATTTGGTTGTTTATTCCTCCACTGGTAAGTAATTAAGCTTTAACTTTGTTCACAAACAATTTTCTAAGATCATTGCTTTACGTTAAATGCCGAGTCAATTACCGGTTTTCCTTCTGTAAATGATTTGACAAATTATGGTGTTTTGTGGGGAGGTAGTGAATGTAAAACTCCAAAGTGTAATGGTATCGTGGCCACACATCCAGAAGCATGTCCAACATATGCCACATGTGTTGCTCCTAATACTTGTCAATATCCAACATGTAATGGAATTTCAGGTGACAACTCTACTGTATGCTCAGGTCACGGAACATGTACAAAAACTGATACTTGTGACTGCGAATCTACCACTTACTCTGGTTCAAACTGTCAACTTTTTACATGTGGTGATTATTTGAATACTGACCGCAAAGTTTGCTCAGGACATGGAAGTTGTGTTGCTCCAAACAGTTGTTCCTGCTCATCTGGATACAGTGGTGAAGATTGTAGTTTATTCAAATGTTATGGAATTGCCCCAGGTATAAGTTCATCAGTTTGTTCTGGTCGTGGTAGTTGCATTGCCCCAAATAATTGTTCATGTGCTTCAGGTTACTTTGGTGACTGTAGCCAATATGAATGTTTTGGTACCTTATTTACTTCTTCATCAGCTTGTTCTGGTCAAGGAAGTTGTATCTCACCAAATAATTGCTCATGCTCTAATGACCACTATGGAAATGATTGTAGTCAATTTGATTGTTTTGGAATTGCCTCAACAAATGGTTCAGTATGTTCTGGACACGGTGCCTGTCTCTCACCAAATAACTGCTCATGCTTAGCTGGATATAGTGGATCAGATTGCAGCTCTTTCCAATGTTATGGCA